GGCTTCGCCGTTTTAGACCCGTTCTCATCACCACACTTCATAGAAGTAATCATAGTTAAATACGACAGTGGTAGTAGTCCTAAATTAGCATTTAGTATAAGAATACAGTACGAATTAACGACATCAGAGCATTCTAGGTCGTATATCCTTTCCTTTTCCAAAACTAACCAATGTAATAGAAGATTCTAAAGATTAACTTTCATTGGTCCACTAGGTATGGGAATGTCCGCTATTTGAAAGTCCCCAGTATATTACAAAATTTACAATTTTGACAGAATTCCCAATTCATGTACAAAATACGCATCACAGCATTTATAAACCTGCGGGTGAAAAGCCGGATTACCCAGGCTGACTATACAGTACCGATATGTTTACGTTATAGAAACTACGGTAAATAAGTTGAATTGCAAAAGGTAAATCAAATTTAGCTTCAGCCCTCGGCTATGAGCAAAAGAATAGGGATTTAAGACTGAGACCATTATCTATATAGTTCCGCTCTAGTCATTCACTACGTCGGTCTAGATTTATAAGATCAGAGTCTATTTTATTTGCGTTACATTTCATTTCACGCATCGAAACAGACCTTCAATCGCAATTATTAATGAACGAACTCTAAGTCCAACTTGGGAAAAATAATAGAAAATTAAACCACCAAGCTGGTGCAGTGAAATGTCGCTGTTAATATCGGCACTTATACCCCATCATTTGGTGCCTAGCTCTCCATCTCATTGACGGTATAGACGGGCACATCTAGTAGGCTGGCTAGGGGGAGTTAATGTCATGTCCTATTTCTCAGTGGATTATCTTGCGCTGAGAGTATTTGAAAATAGAACACCTGCCATCAAGTGCCAAATTTCACCTGAGACCAACTATTCATTATATCCCAGTATTAAGGTGAAAAGCATATCATTATAGAGAAACCACCAACAAGTTTACAATAGTGTCTACTCTCTGATGTATACGATTGTAATTTCATATATTTAAAAATAGAATTTGTTGCTTGATTGCATTTTCCAAATATCCAAAATTAATGTCTCAACCTATCCCAGTATTATATAACGTTGAAGCGTTCATATGTCTATAGTATACGTTTAGCATGTGCTTCTACAATTAGAAACCCGCTGTTCTTGCACAACCCCCCCTCAGCTTGAAATTACAGTGGTGACTTGTATTTTTTTTTGAAACATATAGAAGATGAATTGTAAAAGCGAAAAGGAAGAAAAGAGTTTCGATCATTAGGCCTCAATGCTTGTACTATATTCTCTTAGACAAGTATACTTACAATTTGTAAGTTGCTCGGCGACTTTATAACGTTCGGGTTTAGGTCCTTGTGATCCTCGATGGTGGGTAGGACGTTTCTTTGTGCCTTTTGGAGGTACGTACATTCCATGGTCCGTGAAGCTCGGAATGAATGCTGCATGCGGATAAACCTTGACCACATCAGGAAGTTTGTTTGTAGGTAAGATATCCTCAGCATAAGCCTAAAACTCCTGATTGAAAGCTTTCAGTACGTCTGGATCATCGAATGCAGATGTTGGTAGCTCATATCCCATCTGCAAATTCAGTTGTGCAATATGTCATGTCATCATGTTTGTACTTCCCGAGAACCTTTTTAAACTCGTATGACATAAAAGGTGTAGTAGCTTCACGTACACGACGAAGGTTGATTCTGTCTTTGGAATACGATGTGATATAATATTTAGAGCACTAGAACTGTCAACAATGTTAACTTTATACGTTCCGCCCTTTTTATCGGCCCTTGACATCTTGAATGGTACAAAATACTCAGCCGTAAGCACAGTTTTGTCGAAATTGCGAGCCATGATGTTGACTATATCGCCTACCTCAAGCTCGACTATTTTATTTGAATCATCCCATCGTTTCCGTCTCTTCTTGAAAGAGCTATCATTCATCTCTCTCAAACAAGGAAGGACAACGTCTCAGATTCGACACATCTTGTTTAACCAAGGTAACACATGATCTTCTTGAGAATTCTTGATAAAAGGAACTTGTAACTCACTATAACGGCCCCTGAAACAGTAAGCGGGCGTGGCACCAGCGACTGAATCCGGTGTCTCGTTCATTTGTGTCTGTACACAGTTTTAGAGTTTAGGGTTCTAGTTGAGCCTTAAGCTCTAAACAAGCATCGTCTAGCAATGCTCCGGGCATGAACTTCCTCATCTTCCTGTGTCGCACCTCATAAGCACCTTGTGTTGGAGGCCTGTAAGGTACATCCATCTCATGGCATGAGCCTGCAACGAGTAACAGTGTTGTCATGGCATTTTCCGTAAACTTACTATCGTTATCAGTACACACTATAGCTGGCCAGACCAAATCCGCAAACAAAAAAACATCTATAGATGCTCTCGGTTACTGTTTGTGTTTTTTTATCTTTCAGAGGATATAACACGTTACATTTGGATGCAATATCAAAGACGTGGCAGACATACTTATCTTTCTTATGTGTGGGCAAGGGCAGCCCAACCAAATCAATGATCACCCGGCGGTCTCGTCTTCAGATACAGTTCTTAGGGGAGTATATACATATAGCTTGATCCGGTTAAAATCACAGCCAATGCATTCGTGATACACCTGATGTGTGTGTTGCTTCAGTTGCGGGTGTACAATCCCGTACCGTTTGCAATCTTTCTCAGTTCTGAACTTATTCATATGCTTAAAGAGCATGGTTTTGCCTTAACCATTTCATATTAACTTCCTCAGAAGATTCTGTTACATCAAAATTAGGATGAGAGGATTCCACTCCATTATTATCTGGAGTTAAATTCAATATTTGATTTGTCCATTAGTTGGTTTACACGTTGTAAACATCTGGGAAGTCATTCATCAGCAGTTTAAGTACCCTGGCATCGGCAGGGTTCTAGTTGAGCCTTAAGCTCTAAACAAGCATCGTCTAGCAATGCTCCGGGCATGAACTTTCTCATCTTCCTGTGTCGCACCTCATAAGCACCTTGTGTTGGAGGCCTGTAAGGTACATCCATCTCATGGCATGAGCCTGCAACGAGTAACAGTGTTGTCATGGCATTTCCCGTAAACTTACTATCGTTATCAGTACACACTATAGCTGGCCAGACCAAATCCGCAAAACAAAAAAACCTCTATAGATGCTCTCGGTTACTGTTTGTGTTTTTTAATCTTTCAGAGGATATAACACGTTACATTTGGATGCAATATCAAAGACGTGGCAGACATACTTATCTTTCTTACCGGATACCCGGTAGCTCAACAACCATATCTCGTTATCGCCAACTTGACATTTCTTGCTGTTGATCTTACGTTCCGTTTGTTTAATCTGGTTCAAACCTCACATACAACTTCGTCATGTTCTACTTTGGTCTTCATAAATTCGACGATGTCGTAGATATATACTTGCACGTTATCCAGGTCTCGAAACAAGTCTTACATGATTTGTTGGAAGAACGCTGGTAACATGTGCAAACCAAATGGTGCCCCCTTAAACGAATATTATTGCCTGTCTTAGGTTAATGTGAAGTACTTCCTATGCGGCTTGTATATCTTCATCTGGTTGTAGCCTTGCTTCAAATCGATGTTGGAAAATATTTTAGCTACTTCCAGTCGCATCAACAACTCGGATCCTCGGTAGGTGAAAATTATGTGTGAGAATGAGCACGTTGATTGGGCTCATATTCAAACACACTCAAACTTTATTCATTGTCCCATCGGAGTTGAACTGGTCTACTGCCAAGACTGCTAGGTTTGCTGGGGTCGATTCGTAATTGACTGTGACTACTTCATCTTTCAACTAGGTCTTGACTTGTTCTCTGCTAAAACCCAGTTGCGCGTAGAACATTTCAACTTCGAAAAGTATATCTTAGTTAGGTCTAAGCTCACATACTCGTTATTCAACTTGAACTTAACACAATCTGTAATCTTGATCTTGTCATCCTCAAAGATTATATTCTTAAGCTTCGCAGTGAATTGAGGTATCATCTCTCTCACAGTCTTCAGGGGGTTGCCATCTGACTGATCATTCTGTAGGTCGATGTTGGTGGTATACCAGTAATAGTTATACCAAACGACAACAAGTCTCCCTGTTACAGATAATTGCCTTTGTGACTGTTGTGCGTTGATCGGGTAACCTGGACCTCCGACCTACAGCTATGTTTCGACACGTTATCTCTCTTCGTCAGCTAATTTAAGCGTAGTAGGTACCAATTTACGAGCCACATTCACTTTTTAACAAAGACGTGATGATATGTATGAAACTTTCGAGACCGGAACAAAATGGCTTTTATTTCCTGCATGTTAGCCCGTACATCAAGAATGACACGCTCGCCCTAAGGTGCATCCTTTTTTTTCAGTGCCAAGATCTGGTACAACTGTCACTTAACTTCTACCTTCAGTTTCAGTTTACACATGAACCTCCAGTTCCAGCACAGGTTGCACACTAAGCGACAAAATGTTTACATTTATCTGCGTGCCTACCGTTCCAACAACCATTCGACTCATGTTGGGTCATGCGCCAGTTTTAGTCTGCTTCGACAAAGGCCCTGATTCTCTTCTGCTTAGGCTTTAGGGAATCGGCTGACGTAGCAGACTTGTTCACAGGGGCTCTTCTCGTGTTGACATTGTTCTTGTGGCCATCAGAAACTTGCGTGTGATTTTTCTTTTATTCACCTGTCTCCACCTTTGTTTCCCTTGTAATTATCCTCTGCAGGATAAGAGTCCTAACCATTAACAGATCCTCCATTAGCGTTGTATGCTTTTTTTTAATAGATTGTATGAATTGTACTTCAGCACTCGGACGCTTAGAAAAGATCTGATCTGTTCTCGAATAATGTTCAGTCCATGTAATGTCTTCAATTGAAATCTCGTGTACCATATCTGGATAAGATTGGTGTATGTCTGCATACAAAACTCCTTGATATTTCCTGTGAAGGGACGACCAGATAATTGTTTGTACCCCGCATCTCTTGATATTGAACATGTGCTATATGTGTGTCCAATTCCAATAAGTAATGTCACACTGGCGTACCTTCGTCCAGAGGAATTGTAATGACGAAATCAAATGGCTCTTCCAATGGTGATTTTGTAAAATCAATCACCTCTGGCTCAACATTGTCTGGTTCTCCAGCAGGTGGCAATGCGCAACTATCATCTGATTTCACACTGTAATCCCTTTCAGATTTCTCGACAGTGAATTCTTTTCTCGATGCTTTCTTTCGCTTCTGGTACTGTATCACGCGCTAAGTGCTGAAATTTCCTGAATTATTCATCAGAATCTGCCAGGTCAGAATTCGAATCAATCTCATCCAAAGATTTTTATTCGATTACTTGGCGTCTCCGTTCTCGCAACTTATACCCTAGAGGTCCAAATGTGATGCGACTTCTTGATCCCGTCGATTTGCCTTAAAGGGCTATAACTCCTTCTGTAGGTGACGAAACTGAATACTCCATCGGTCGTTTGAAACTCGCCGTTGTGCTTGCCAGTTTCATTTTCTTCTCTTTTCGAACTAGCCATCGTCTCTTTAGGCGACTCCTGGACCGTTGTCGTCTCCTCATCGTTGGACTCGACTGGCGTTGATACTTTACATTCTCGTTGAGTAGACTTAGAGGTCTTAGACCACTTGCGTTTTCCTATTGTTTGCGTCATGGTACCGATGACAGTTTAAACTTAGAATATATGAAAAAGTCGGATTAACCAGGCTGATTATATATTACCAATACGTGTACCTTAATTAAGTTAAACTGCAAAAATAAATTATGTTAACCTGCAAAGTAAATTACGTTTAGCTCTGTAAA